ATATATATATATATATATATATAAAACGCACGCACGCACACATACACACAAGTTGTATTTCAAGATGGAATTGAGAAGCATTTGTCCCTTGCATTCATCATTCATAAAAGGGGCACATGGAAGTGTCTTCCTTTAGATGAGGTCAAGGCCAAGCTGCTTATTAGTGGGTTCCTGAAAAGACTGAGATGCCCATTATTATTTCCTTTTATTTTTTGGCACTTTCATGATATGTGGCTGCTTTACCTGTTGTCCCTGTTAAGCTTCGGTAACTGGCTCGGTGTACAAGCACTTTTGAAACAGGGATTTTTGTTCTAGGGATCTCACTTTTGGTAGGCTGATGGTGTACAATGTGATGGCTATTACTGGAATCCTGGCCATGGCTACCATGTGGCGATGTAAAATGCTTGATACTGATGGGTATCTTGGAATCCTTGAGTGAAGTTGTATGGGTTTTGACTGGACAAGTAGTTGTTATTGGAGATAATGGCTTGCAACAAGTCACTGGGGTGATATTTTCTGCAGAAGTCACAGTTGCTGTGTTTTCATCTGGATCAGTATACAGATCGTAGAGAGCATCCCCACTGTAGCTGTCCCTGGGAATTACCTCTTTCTGAATACTATTAGTATTGTCTTCTTCAGGTCCAGGTGTAGTAGAATCCCAATAGCCCTCATCACTGCTGGGGATGGCTTCCTGTTGCTCCTTTTCTCTATTTTTCTGGTCTTCTTTGTGGTGATGAACTGGAATCTGGCTAAGACCAATGTGCTTCCCGTTTGCTGCCCCATCCTGAACTCTCCTGACTGTCTTATCACCTTTGTAGGTCTCAGGTGATTCCTTCCTTCCTGATGTCCCCTGTGATTTCTCCTCAGTGCATGACAATAAATCCCAAAACTCCGGAGTACAAGTGTCTCCCACCTGTTCAGGGCTGGCCATCTCTTCTCCTCCTCCCTGGTAAGTCACCACGCTGGTAGGCTTCTTCGAGGCCCCTGCTTTTCCAATCCCAGGGGCACTCCTCTCACTTCCACCTCCACCACTGCCACCGCCGCTGCCCACGTCATCCTCCTGGTCAGCAATAATGTCCCCACAGCCTGTAAGAGAGTCAAAGCTTTTCAGTGAAGTCACGTCAGCAAACATCAAACAAATACGGTCAATGGATGGCTCAGAGGGTGGATCAAGAGAGGAAGGGTCAGGGGCTGCTGCCGTCTCTTGGCCGCGTTCATACTTGGGTTCAACAGGGGGGGAAGGCTTGATGGGGAGGTCACCTGTTTTAGCTGAGTCCTCCTTGATCTCTTGGCCATCACTACCAGGGGGTTCAGGATGAAGCTCTTTATCCTGGGGCAGAATCCTGGGAGGCTCCTCTCCTCCAGGGCCACATGGGGCTGGCTGCGGTGCCAGGTCCGGGGTGGGCATGACCTCAGTGGCCAGGAGACCCACTGGCTGCTCTCCATCCCTGGACACTGGGGAGCTCCCCGCGGCGTCCAGGGGTGCTCCCGGCGCTGCCTCCTCTTTGATGCACTCCAGGCTGGCGGTGAGGGAGCCTGTATTGAGGATGCTGGGACTGGCCTGGCCCTCGGAGCCCTCGCCGGCGTCCTCCTCCTTCGCCCCGCCGCCCGGCTTCTCCCGGCGGGGCCACCGCATGCTGCTGAAGAGCCCCTTTAGGCCCCCGCGCCCTTTGGGTC